GACCCCCCGAAACGGATATCCAACCAGCCGGCTCTACCCCGGCCACGGAGGCCGTTTAAATAATTTATATTCTTGATCAGTATCAATAGCGAAGTCGATTAAGCCGTATCCATCTGTCCATATAAACGCTAAGATCTCAAGAACTATAAGAGATAAAGAGTTGCGATTTAGCAATCAGATTCTTGAGGTTTCTACGCAGCGCAAGTTTGCAACAGCATCCTGCCACTCTAACGCCCACAAGAAACTATTAGAGCTAAAAAGTTAAGATTAAGTACGTATAATATAGTTCGTACCATTACCATTTATTGCACAGGCATACAGGAATACGGAAAGTCTTAAAATGATTGGGTCTCTCTTAAGAGACTACATTCATGTAGGTATCTTTTCAAGTTACAGATTGCTTTGCATCTGCGTAGTTTTTAATTAGTACCTGTGATTCAAGGTTTGGTGAGTTTTTTTATGCTTTTTTTTATAAATTGGTGTACATAGCAATACAAAATTCATATTTTTTCATTACAGTTTCTATTTTTATTGCAGTTCAAATTTTTATAAAAAAGTTGTTCTTAAAATTCATTTTTTTGTTCTTTTTATTGTGCGATATAAAATACAAAACAATTTATATAATATTTTCAGTACATTTATTTATAAAACATGTACGATTCATTATAAAATTGAATTTTTTTTAACAGTTTTTATTTGTATTGCAATTTAACTTTTTATAAAAATTTCTTCTGAAATTCATTTACGTTTCTAGTTTTCTTTAATTTTTGTAACTTTTCTTAATTGACGGACGCATTTGCTTCGAAAAAATATGACCCCGAAGCGAAATGCAATTGGCCGATATACACCTCAAGCGCAAGCGATAAGGGTATTTCGAGCCTCAGAATCAGACGAGCAACGAGCATTAGGGCTAGAAAAATTCAAGTGCATGCCACTGGGACCCGATCGTCTGAATTACCTGAACGACGGTAAGTAAGGTTAGAAATATATGGGACATATGACCAACAGTAAGGTCGGCGAAAAAATGTTCGAACAAGGTTCAATCAGGATGGATAAAATGGACCAAGATGGATACAATTTTCACGTAATGCAGCGCACTCAAATTTAAGAGCGAAACGCCAGGGATGTGTTGCGCCAGTGGAAAAGTCAAACTGCCAGAATTACATTTCCCACCTGAACAATTCTCGTCGTTGCTTTCAGGCATAACACATTATTCAAAACATTTTTTGGCTATAAAATTAAAAGGTTCAGACGTACTGTTGCCACGTATCCCAATGATTCCGACGGTAATGACATTCGAATTCAAACGTACCAACAAAGCACATGGACAATCATTGCAAGTGTGTAGACTGAATTTGGAGAATCCATGCTTCTCACATGGGCAGTTCTATATGGCCTGCTCGCGCGTCGGAAAATTCTCGGATTCCTCCTCTGAAAAACAAGAAACATATTATTTCCCAAAGCACTTCAGTATATATTGAATAGAAACCTAAACGAAAAATATTTTATTTGTTTTATTTTGCCCGTGCAGGGAACATAAGCTTTAGAGGACTATGTCAAGCTTGAGAAGCGGACCGAGGCGGTCGCGCTAGAAACGTATAAATATACTTCATCAAAAATAGCGCACTATATTTTTGACTTACTTCCTTGCGTCCGTCTGTTTGTTTGTCAGGAACTATAAAAGATGCATATAAGTTTGGGATTAACCATGTAGAATCTTGAGATACCTGCACCTGCACCTTCTTCTGTCAAGCCCACAACTACAAAATTAGAAAGTTTGGATTAAACATGTAGGTTTTTGAGATGCCATAAATATTTTGGTTTGACCTTATACATATTTTTTGGCAATACCATTCTATATACAAAAATGTTTTAAATTTAACATTATTTCGTTTTTTATTACAAAATTAATGTTATAAGTCCTTACTTGGTCAGCTCATTTTTAAAACTTGCCCTCTGCAGTTCGAGTCAAGGATTGCACTAGTAACGGGTTCAAGATCTGGTTAAGATTTTGAAATTGGGTAAAGAAGTTACTGCTATCAGATAGTTTTCTTCTTGTGTTTTCATTACATTATGGAATCAGAAGTTTTAATATTTGACGTTTACTAAAATTTGTTTCTAACTTTAAAAATTTTATGCGCATTCCACTAAAATTCCATCAAATCTTCCTTGAGCTTGGGAAACCAGTTTTGTTAAGAGGTAAGGTAATAAAATAGTTTACTTTTGGAAGAAAAGTGATTGAATACTTAGATGAAATCTTTCGGGATATTAACCAGGGCTATTTATTTGATTTTTTACCTTGGCTGATTCCATTTTATACAACTCACATAAAAAAAATAATGCACTGGTCAACTACTAAACGAAAATTTATATTATATAAAATTGTCGATTGTCGAGAAAGTAACATAAATTTAGAGGAACCTGACAAAGATTTCACTGATGCTCTGCTAAAAAGTTTAAGAGAAGACCAGAATGTGTCTCGTAATACAATAATTTTTATGTTTGAAGACTTTATTGGAGGGCACACAGCAGTTGGGAATTTGATAATGTTGGTTTTGGCATACAAGTTAACAACCAACTCCCAGCTTAGGCTGAGCAGGCCAATTCTTATTCCCCTTGTTAATATTATATTGTTATTATTATTACACTTTCCTCTCATGCATGGTCCACCCTAAATTGGGTCCACCTTGTGGGCCCTAAGCTGAACCAGCGCATTGTACCGTTCCGAGCCGTGGCTCCGTTTCGTTGGCTGCCAGCGATCGTTTGACTTCTGCAAAATGTGAAGGTCAGCGTCTGCGCGGGCAGCCGGCTATGCATGAGCTTTTGTTAGTTCTTAGTTTTAGTTTCTTCAAAGTAGGTGAAAGAGTACGCCTACGCAAAACCAAAAGATTAGGGAACAAATTAACACAGCTTTATTCAGAAGAGCATGTAGAAGCAGATCTGGGAACATCTGTTCTCATTAGGGGGAGGGCGGTCCATAAGGTCAACATCAGATAGGCATTTAATCTGCCACATTCGCCCTTATACTAAAACTCAATATTTGTTATAATTCTCCCAGGCTTGCAATATATATATCATACTGCTGTACACCGCAAGCGCGCTAATCACCGACTTCTCGCATGCAAAATACATTGCATTGTATTAGACGGGAATGTTTTAGTATGGAAACAGTATGGTCTGGTCAGGCCATAGAATGGCCCGAAGCCTCGATTTTTTTGGCTTAGTCCTTAAGGTCGTGGCGGGTGCATCCGACGCGGATGATCTTAGTAGAAGTAACACCAATAAAGCATCGCTTATCGAGGCTAACAATAGACAGGTTATCATTAACACAGAAATACAGAAACACATAAATGGGCTCACAGACACAGTGAATAAGATCCTCAAGGAGAAAAGGGACGGGTTTGTTGACTCAGGTCATTTGTTCGAAACACTCCTCCCCAGAAACAGAATGCTAATATCCGAAATCCAAAATTGTATGCTCACTATTACACTCGATAAATACAATATTATAAACCCTACTATTTTCGACCATAATGACCTAAAGGCTATCTTTGACGAACAGCTCACGGAGGTGCCCTTAGTTAGCCTTATGGATGTATCTAAGATTACAATTTTTCAATCCACTGTTTTTATCCATATCATAGTTCAGTATCCTAGAGTTAAACTTATTTGTAAAAAGGTCCTGCTCTTCCCTGTCGTACACTACCACACATCTTGGCGAAATGTGATGACGGAATCCTAGCAGTCTCCGATTGCGCTAGAGCTGAGCCAGGATATTGTACCGTTCTGGGCCGTGGCTTTGTCTCATTGGCTGACAGCGATCGTATGTCTTCTGCAAAATGTGAATGGTTAGCGGTAGGCCAAGGGCATACGGTCATGGATGAGCTTTTGTCAATTCTGAAGTTTAGTTCTTATTTGATGTTACGCCAGCTCCTATTTATGAAACTGCCTATTATACTGACTGAGTCACTAGGCCAGCGGTATCGAAGGACAGTTACCCTTCCGCCGTAATCTCCCTATCTCAACAAAGGAGTAATACGACCACCTTTTGAGATCTACAGCGACAAGGGCCACCAGCGGCAGCAACCTTCCACCGACCCCCCGAAACGGATATCCAACCAGCCGGCTCTACACCGGCCACGGAGGCCGTTTAAATAATTTATATTCTTGATCAGTATCAATAGCGAAGTCGATTAAGCCGTATCCATCTGTCCATATAAACGCTAAGATCTCAAGAACTATAAGAGATAAAGAGTTGCGATTTAGCAATCAGATTCTTGAGGTTTCTACGCAGCGCAAGTTTGCAACAGCATCCTGCCACTCTAACGCCCACAAGAAACTATTAGAGCTAAAAAGTTAAGATTAAGTACGTATAACGTACTTAATTCGTACCATTACCATTTATTGCACAGGCATACAGGAATACGGAAAGTCTTAAAATGATTGGGTCTCTCTTAAGAGACTACATTCATGTAGGTATCTTTTCAAGTTACAGATTGCTTTGCATCTGCGTAGTTTTTAATTAGTACCTGTGATTCAAGGTTTGGTGAGTTTTTTATGCTTTTTTTTATAAATTGGTGTACATAGCAATACAAAATTCATATTTTTTCATTACAGTTTCTATTTTTATTGCAGTTCAAATTTTTATAAAAAAGTTGTTCTTAAAATTCATTTTTTTTGTTCTTTTTATTGTGCGATATAAAATACAAAACAATTTATATAATATTTTCAGTACATTTATTTATAAAACGTGTACGATTCATTATAAAATTGAATTTCTTTAACAGTTTTTATTTGTATTGCAATTTAACTTTTTAATTTTCTAGTTTTCTTTAATTTTTGTAACTCTTCTTAATTGACGGACGCATTTGCTTCGAAGAAATATGACCCCGAAGCGAAATGCAATTGGCCGATATACACCTCAAGCGCAAGCGAAAAGGGTATTTCGAGCCTCAGAATCAGACGAGCAACGAGCATTAGGGCTAGAAAAATTCAAGTGCATGCCGCTGGGACCCGATCGTCTGAATTACCTGAACGACGGTAAGTAAGGTTAGAAAGATATGGGACATATGACCAACAGTAAGGTCGGCGAAAAAATGTTCGAACAAGGTTCAATCAGGATGGATAAAATGGACCAAGATGGATACAATTTTCACGTAATGCAGCGCACTCAAATTTAAGAGCGAAACGCCAGGGATGTGTTGCGCCAGTGGAAAAGTCAAACTGCCAGAATCACATTTCCCACCTGAACAATTCTTATTCAAAACATTTTTTGACTATAAAATTAAAAGGTTAAGACGTAATGTTGCCACGTATCCCAATGATTCCGACGGTAATGACATTCGAATTCAAACGTACCAACAAAGCACAATGACAATCATTGCAAGTGTGTAGACTGAATTTGGAGAATCCATGCTTCTCACATGGGCAGTTCTATATGGCCTGCTCGCGCGTCGGAAAATTCTCGGATTCCTCCTCTGAAAAACAAGAAACGTATTATTTCCCAAAGCACTTCAGTATATATTGAATAGAAACCTAAACGAAAAATATTTTATTTGTTTTATTTTGCCCGTGGAGGGAACATAAGCTTTAGAGGACTATGTCAAGCTTGAGAAGCGGACCGAGGCGGTCGCGCTAGTAACGTATAAATATACTTCATCAAAAATAGCGCACTATATTTTTGACTTACTTCCTTGCGTCCGTCTGTTTGTTTGTCAGGAACTATAAAAGATGCATATAAGTTTGGGATTAACCATGTAGAATCTTGAGATACCTGCACAGCGCAATTCTTCTGTCAAGCCCACAACTACAAAATTAGAAAGTTTGGATTAAACATGTAGGTTTTTGAGATGCCATAAATATTTTGGTTTGACCTTATACATATTTTTTGGCAATACCATTCTATATACAAAAATGTTTTAAATTTAACATTATTTCGTTTTTTATTACAAAATTAATGTTATAAGTCCTTACTTGGTCAGCTCTTTTTTAAAACTTGCCCTCTGCAGTTCGAGTCAAGGATTGCACTAGTAACGGGTTCAAGATCTGGTTAAGATTTTGAAATTGGGTAAAGAAGTTACTGCTATCAGATAGTTTTCTTCTTGTGTTTTCATTACATTATGGAATCAGAAGTTTTAATATTTGAAGTTTACTAAAATTTGTTTCTAGCTTTAAAAATTGTATGCGCATTCCACTAAAATTCCATTAAATCTTCCTTGAGCTTGGGAAACCAGTTTTGTTAAGAGGTAAGGTAATAAAATAGTTTACTTTTGGAAGAAAAGTGATTGAATACTTAGATGAAATCTTTCGGGATATTAACCAGGGCTATTTATTTGATTTTTTACCTTGGCTGATTCCATTTTATACAACTCACATAAAAAAAATAATGCACTGGTCAACTACTAAACGAAAATTTATATTATATAAAATTGTCGATTGTCGAGAAAGTAACATAAATTTAGAGGAACCTGACAAAGATTTCACTGATGCTCTGCTAAAAAGTTTAAGAGAAGACCAGAATGTGTCTCGTAATACAATAATTTTTATGTTTGAAGACTTTATTGGAGGGCACACAGCAGTTGGGAATTTGATAATGTTGGTTTTGGCATACAAGTTAACAACCAACTCCCAGCTTAGGCTGAGCAGGCCAATTCTTATTCCCCTTGTTAATATTATATTGTTATTATTATTACACTTTCCTCTCATGCATGGTCCACCCTAAATTGGGTCCACCTTGTGGGCCCTAAGCTGAGCCAGCGCATTGTACCGTTCCGAGCCGTGGCTCCGTTTCGTTGGCTGCCAGCGATCGTTTGACTTCTGCAAAATGTGAAGGTCAGCGTCTGCGCGGCCAGCCGGCTATGCATGAGCTTTTGTTAGTTCTTAGTTTTAGTTTTAATGTGGATTTGAAATAGAGAGCACTGGCTCGATCATAAAACTCCGGCCTCAGCCGTTACATTTATTCTATTTGTTGAATTTGGTTATTGTGCCTTAAGGGCCATAACAACGGGGATAAGTATCTCCCACCGTAACCTTCGGACAAGGAAGGAGGTCGAAGCGACTACCCGACTCTTCGGTGGCTGCCATCCTGGAGCGCCACCAACACCTAACCAACCGGCTCTACCCCTGCCACGAGGCACCGCCAACCGGCACCAGTAGTTACGTAATTCGGACGAAGGAAGGATGTCGAAGCGACTACCCGACTCTTCAGTGGCTGCCATCCTTGGTGGTCACCAACACCTAACCAACCGGCTCTACCCCTGCCACGAGGGCACCGCCAGCCGGCACGGATATTAAATAACTGTCGCCCAACGGAGTAATATTATTACTAATATTCGAATTTCACCCCTGAAGTTGTACAATATGTAAGTAGCTGAGCGCCGACAATAGCCAAGGTCTACGCAACCACAAATACCAGTGCATACAATTCCCTATGCCCAGCATTAGGAATTTTTTACAGTAAATAAATAGTGACTCGATTTTCGATTTCTGATTCAGTTTTTTCTAAGTGCGTGGCCATAAATAAAAAATAACAATAAAAAAAACATATATCTCATATAACGCACATTGGTGCCAAGGCAGTCAACATTTGCACGAATTAATTATGCAAAGGAATATTTTATTTTTTTGTTAAGGTTGGTCTCTGTACGCATGCAGAGGTTGCCAGTCGTTTTTCTCCTTGTATTTTGCTACAATTTTTTTTCCACTGTGCTTGTATTTAATTTTTAACTAATGTTATCCAGTGTATCTGTGCTAATAATACACCCAGTCGAATTGACCTATGCTTGTTGTCACCGTTCTGTATTTTAATTTTGTTTTGGAGACAAATTAATCCAACATTTTTGTGTTTTAGGTGACGGTCCATTTGTTTTTTTTTCTCTTCGCCTTTTATATCACCAAGTGGCCCGCCGAAACCTTTTGTCTTGAGCCCCAATAATCAAATACCTCGTATCTACCCAGCGCTCTTTAACTGCCAATGAGTTGGGAGTATAGGGAAGTAAAGCAGGAAATTCATAGTGACGATAGCGACGATAGCGAAGAGGTAGGATTTCGCCACGAAGTTAGGGACATAGATCAACCAGAAATGAACGCAGAAATGGTCCAAGCGCTTGTCGCAAATGCGGTCAGCGCCGCTCTTGTCGAGCAGGAAGCACGCTTAAGAAACGATTTTGCCACAGAGTTAAGAGCGGTTAGAGCACAGGTTAGTGCGCTGTCAGTGCAAGCGCCGCAGGTGGAGGTCTACCAAAGAGTAGTACCGGACCCTGCAGTAAGATGCGATGTCAAGTTGGACATAGTAAAATCCCTGCCGACGTTCAATGGAAGCCACGACGAGTACGTTTCGTGGAGGCAGGCTGCATCAGATGCTTATGAAGTGTTCAAAAGATACGATGGCAGCGAGGCAAACTACGAGGCCGTTGTCATCATTAAAAACAAAATTTGCGGGCCCGCTCGGGCACTACGCACGTCCCACAACACAGTGCCAAATTTCGATGCAATTCTAGCCAGACTAGATTGCACATATGCGGACAAAACGTCCCTAAGAGTGCTACGGCAAAATTTAGAAATGGTTCGACAAGGAGATTCCGACCTTATGGCATACTATGACGAAGTCGAGAGGAAACTCACGCTCGTCACTAACAAAATAGTCATGTCACATAACATGGACACAGCAGCAATCCTGAATAAGGAGGTTAGGGATGATGCCCTTCATGCATTCATTGCAGGGCTTAAGAGGCCACTCAAGACACTCGTGCTACCAGCACAACCCAAAGACCTTCCATCTGCACTGGCATTAGCGCGGGAAGCCGAGAACAGCATTGAAAGAAGTGCGTTCGCGGCAACCTACACGAAAGCTATAGAAGACAAGTCCCATTTTAATGAGGGCAATAGGCGCAATAATAAGGGTCAGGGAAAGCAGTGGAGAGGTGAGGATAAGAATCCGCACTTTGTTCCTAAGCAGAACCAAAGTAAGCCTCATGAGGACAATCGCTGGCCGAAGCGCAGGGATCCCGAGTCCTTAGACCACAATACGGTTCAGCCGATGGAGGTAGACCCCTCAACGGCTAAGTTCAGACAGGGAACAAACTGGGGAAAGCCTCAAAGTAACAACAATTACAAAAGGCAGAACTCGTCCCAGCGGCAATCGGGCCAAAGACGCCAACGCGTCAACAATTTAGCCCAACTCCAACAGGAACTAACAGATTTTAAAACCAAAGCCGAGGCTGAGGTCGCCACCATTGAGGAAGATAGCGACACGGCCGAGTTTAACGACCTCCTACATTTTTTAGGGAGCGTTCCCGACTGCCGTTCGTCGAGCGACAGTTGGCTGGCAGAACACTAAAAGTTCTCATCGACACTGGGGCGGCAAAAAATTACGTAAAGCCCGTAAAGGAGCTAAGAAACGTAATGCCGGTTGAAACCCCCTTTACAGTGAGCTCTATTCACGGCTCCAGTGATGTCAAAAGAAGTGTATAATGCGCATTTTTGGACTACACGTCCCATTTTTCCTCTTGGATACATTGAGCACGTTTGATGCTATTATAGGCTTCGATTCGCTAACGCGAGCAGGAGTAGCATTGGACCTAGGCAACAGCGTAATAAAATATGCAAACGTCACTGAGAAGCTCAAAATTTTTGACTGTCAGAATGTCAGCTTCACAACATATTGGTACCAGGTTCGGCTAAAGCCGACTTCAAAAAAATTATTCTGAAAAGGATCAAGGTGTTTTCGACCTCTAACGAGGCGCTCACCTTCAACACATCGGTCGTCGCTACTATTCGAACTACGAGTGACGAACCTATCTACTCCAATTTATACCCCTACCCTATGGGGGCAGCAGACTTTGTAAACAATGAAATAAAAGAGCTGCTGCAAAATGGCATAATCAGGCCGTCCAGATCCCCATACAATAGCCCTACTTGGGTGGTTGACAAAAAAGGGACCGATGACAACGGCAGCAAGAAGAAGCGATTAGTTCTCGACTACAGGAAGCTGAACGAGCGAACAATCGCCGACCGCTACCCCATGCCGAGCATACCCATGATTCTAGCGAACTTGGGGAAAGCCAAATTCTTTACCACCCTAGACCTGAAGTCAGGGTACCATCAAATATACCTGGCTGAAAAGGACCGAGAGAAGACCTCGTTCTCAGTTAATGGGGGGAAATACGAATTCTGCCGATTACCCTTCGGCCTAAAAAATGCAGGGAGCATTTTCCAAAGAGCCATCGACGATGTGCTGCGGGAAGAAATCGGCAAAATATGCTACGTCTACGTCGACGACGTAATCATCTTTTCCGAGAATGAGACGGAACATGTCAAGCATATTGACACGGTGCTTAAGCGCCTACTCGGTGCCAACATGAGGGTGGCGCGGGAAAAAACTAAGTTCTTTAAAGAAAGCGTTGAGTTCCTAGGGTTCATTGTCACCAGAGGAGGAACAAGAACAGACCCAGAAAAAGTTAGAGCAATAAAAGAGTTCCCAGAACCAAAAAATTTGTTTAGCCTCAGGTCCTTCCTAGGCCTGGCGAGCTATTACAGGAGCTTTGTAAAAAACTTTGCTTGCATTGCTAGACCTCTGACCGCCATCCTCAAAGGGGAAAACGGGACGGTCAGCAAGAATATGTCGAAAAAAGTAGCTGTCAGGTTTAATGAAACCCAGCGAAATGCATTCGACCACCTTCGTAACATTTTGGCATCGGAAGACGTCATTTTGACATACCCTGATTTTAAATTACCGTTTGACTTAACCACCGACGCCTCAGCGAGCGGAATAGGCGCGGTACTATCCCAAAATAAAATACCTATTACCATGATTTCACGCACGCTAAAAGACTGCGAGTTGAACTACGCCACCAACGAAAGAGAATTGTTGGCGATAGTCTGGGCAATAGGCAAACTCCAAAATTACCTATACGGTAACAATGAGGTACGGATCTTTACAGACCACCAGCCTCTCACATATGCGGTATCCGACAAAAACACCAACGCTAAGATCAAGCGATGGAAAGTGTTCATTGATGAGAACAACGGGAAAGTGTTTTACACACCCGGAAAACAAAACCTGGTAGCTGACGCACTATCGAGGCAACCCCTGAATTACACAGAGGCTGAGGCCCAGTCTGACGCGGCTACGGTGCATAGTGAGCTTTCGCTCTCATACACCATAGAGACCACAGACAAACCTCTGAACTGTTTTAGAAACCAAATTATTTTGGAGGAAGCAGGCCAACCGCTTCGGCGGGATTTCATAGTCTTCGGAAATAGAACTCGCCATATCATTAATTTTAATAACAAGGACTCGCTCGTTGAATCCGTTAAGGAGATAGTTAACGCCAACGTTGTGAACGCAATTCATTGTGATTTCCCTACCCTGGCTCGCATTCAACATGCCTTGAGGCAGGAATTTCCTGCGACAAAGTTCTGGCATTGTAAAACCTTTGTCAGTGACATAACCAACGCTAATGAACAGTTGGAGATCACTAACACAGAGCACAATCGCGCCCATAGGGCTGCCCAGGAGAACGCAAAACAAATTCTCCGGGATTATTACTTCCCGAACATGTTCAAATTAGCTAGCGAAGTGGTCGCGAATTGCAAAGTCGGCAATAAGGCCACATACGATCGCCATCCCAAGAAACAAGAATTAGGAATTACGCCTATCCCATCATACGTTGGGGAATTGTTGCATATCGACATTTTTTCGACCGACAAAAAAATCTTCTTAACTTGCATTGATAAATTTTCCAAATTCGCTGTCATACAGCCCTTAGCTTCTAGGGCAATAATAGATGTACGAGCACCCATTCTCCAACTGGTAAATTTGTATCCTAACACCAAGACCATATACTGCGACAATGAGGCCTCATTTAACTCTGAGACAATCACATCATTGCTGCAAAACCAATACAGCATCGATGTTGTCAATGCGCCACCGCTACACAGTAGCTCCAACGGACAAGTGGAGAGATTTCACAGTACCCTGGCGGAAATTGCCAGATGCCTCAAGCTTGATAAAAAAATTGAGGATACTGTGGAACTAATATTGAGGTCTACTATAGAGTACAACAGGTCGCTACATTCGGTTACAGAGTTTAGACCGGTGGAGGTCATCCACGCCAGCAGCGATGAGATGAAACTGGCAATTAAAGCCAGGATTGACAAGGCACAACAATCTAACCTAGACAGGGTTAATCCTTCAAGGCAGAAACGAGTCTTCGAAGTCGGTGAAAGAGTGCACTTACGCAACAACAAAAGGTTAGGGAACAAATTAACACCGCTTTATTTAGAAGAGCGTGTAGAAGCAGATCTGGGAACATCTGTTCTCATTAGGGGGAGGTTGGTCCACAAGGACAACATTAGATAGGCACTTCATCTGCCACAGTCGCCCTTATATTAAAACCCAATCTTTGCTTTAATTTCCACATGAGGAAGCTGCTGGAAGTGGACATTGAGCATGCCCAGAACGTTCTGGAGGAACTTAAGATACACCATAGAATGGCCAGGAGCCTTGATTTTTTGAGGTCAGTCCTTAAGGTCGTGGCGGGTACACCCGGCGCGGATGATCTAAATAGAGTTACCGAGGCTAATAATAGACAGGTTATGATTAGCACTGAGACACAGAAACACATCAATCTACTCACAAACACAGTAAACAAGATCCTCAGGGAGGAAAAGGACGGGCTTGTTGATTCAGGCCATTTGTTCGAAACACTACTAGCCAGAAATAGAATGTTAATATCTGAAATCCAAAATTGTATGTTCACTATCACGCTTGCTAAAAATAATATCATCAATCCTACTATTTCCAATCATAATGACCTAAAGGCTATTTTCGACGAACAGCTTACGGAGGTCCCGATAGTTAGCCTTATGGATGTATCTAGATTAAGATTTTTCAAAGTAATGTTCTTATCCACGTTATAGTCCAGTATCCTAGAGTTAAGCGTATTTGTAAAAAAGTCCTGCTCTGCCCTGTCGCACTCTACCATACTATGCTACAAATAGAAGACAACGGCGATGACGGAATCCTAGCAGTCTCCGATTGCGCTCCTACCAACTTGGCCACATTTTGCAAAAAGGAGTCACACGACACCCGCGCCAGGCAGTTACATGCAGGCGGGGCGGCTACGTGCCGGACGCGGCCCAGCAATCTGGAACCCCTTACAATTGGGGACGATGGAGTAAATGTATTTGAACCTCAACTCCTCCGTGAATAAGAGCCGAGTATTGCGGTCTCCCCCTTAATTAACATTACGGGACACGATCACATATTGAGTCTGCCAATGTTACAGCGGATGAACAAGCATAACCTGCGTTTAATGCAGGAGCTTAGAGATGACGTGTCGGCTGGAGGTTCCCCGAGGATTTGGTGCGCCGCAGGAGTCGCCGTCAGCCTCGCACTATGCGGCTTGGTCCTGCTCCAACAACACTGCAGGCGCAAACGAGAGGCAGCCCAGCTACAAAGGTCCATCGACGAATTGGCTGTCACCGAGGACGGCGTCCAATTTAAGGGGGGAGTAGTTAACAACCAACTCCCAGCTTAGGCTGAGCAGGCCAATTCTTATTCCCCTTGTTAATATTATATTGTTATTATTGTTACACTTTCCTCTCATGCATGGTCCACCCTAAATTGGGTCCACCTTGTGGGCCCTAAGCTGAGCCAGCGCATTGTACCGTTCCGAGCCGTGGCTCCGTTTCGTTGGCTGACAGCGATCGTTTGACTTCTGCAAAATGTGAAGGTCAGCGTCTGCGCGGCCAGCCGGCTATGCATGAGCTTTTGTTAGTTCTTAGTTTTAGTTTTAATGTGGATTTGAAATAGAGAGCACTGGCTCGATCGTAAAACTCCGGCCTCAGCCGTTACATTTATTCTATTTGTTGAATTTGGTTATTGTGCCTTAAGGGCCATAACAACGGGGATAAGTATCTCCCACCGTAACCTTCGGACAAGGAAGGAGGTCGAAGCGACTACCCGACTCTTCGGTGGCTGCCATCCTGGAGCGCCACCAACACCTAACCAACCGGCTCTACCCCTGCCACGAGGCACCGCCAACCGGCACCAGTAGTTACGTAATTCGGACGAAGGAAGGAAGTCGAAGCGACTACCCGACTCTTCAGTGGCTGCCATCCTTGGTGGTCACCAACACCTAACCAACCGGCTCTACCCCTGCCACGAGGGCACCGCCAGCCGGCACGGATATTAAATAACTTACATAGCTAAAAATCCTATAATTGGTGAGCTTATAATGCAGGAGGTAGATTTTGTTTCGAATTATGGAGTAAGGAGTATTAGTCTTTATGATATGAATAAAATGCCATATATCATGGCGGTAATTTTAGAGGTTCTACGACATTCATCATCTCCTATTGTTCCTCATGTAGCAATGGAAGACACAGGTATACCGGGATTCGGTGTTACCAAGGAGACAATCGTTTTTATAAATAATTTTGTATTAAATATAAGCGAAAATAACTGGAAATATCCTGCTCAATTTGAGCCGAAGCGGTTTCTAGATATAAAGCATACAGATGACAGAACCAATATCTTGGTGGGACCAGACTCCAGTGCTCAATAAGTTAGGCAAAATTACAAAAAAAAATTACAACAATGGTTTTCAGCTTAAGAAATGTATTCCACTTTTCTTACCGTTCAGTGTCGGTAAGCGCACATGTCTTGGAAAAAATCTGATTCGAGGGTTCGGATTTCATTTACTTGTCTATATTATAAAAAATTACAATGTGAATAGTGCGGACTTTTCAAAAATTAAATTACAAAAATCCAGTGTGCCAAAAAAATGTTTTCAACTATTATTGCGCCCTAATAAATAAATAGTATATTATATATGTCGGCGGCAAGGGTATGTTTTCCATCTTGATGCTTTTATTGATTTTCGCAGCTGCACAGTGAGTTCCGTTTGGTTCGAATACCCAAGCTCAACTGACTCTTGCATATGCGCTCACGTCATAAACTCACTCAAGTCGACCGTATACAGCCATCTCTGTCTTACTCAAGACTCTTGGTATCTTACCATCGAACCTCACTCAGCAGCAGAGCGTCTCCGCCTCTGCCACCGTGCATTCTCTCAATATCAACGAGTAAAGCAGAAGCAGGGGAATCCCCCGAATTTCCAAATTACCAGAATGCTACATTTACTGGGAATCACACTGCGACACTGCCTTCCTGACCTTCTTAATCAATACGTGATCGCCTAAACTATGTTTAATAATTTTCGCCTTATTACTTTCAAACCTGCGCTTATCATATCGTGCGCCGTCTTCCATATTTTGTTTGGCTTGTTTTCTTAGATTTCCTCTGTCTATTTTGTCATCAACTTTTTCATCTATTGGTAGTAAGCCAAAAGGTCTAGCTTCCTTACCAATTAACAATTCTAATGGGCTAAACTTAGTTACTCTATTCGCCGTACAATTCATTGCCAATTGCACCTCGGCCAACGCATCCTGCCACGATCTCTGACCGGTTTCCACAGCCGTCAACATACTTTTGAGTGTACTCATTACTCGCTCGACCTGACCATTGGCCCTACTCGCACCGGTGGCAATTAAATGCAAATTAATTTTTTGAGAGGAACAAAACTCACGAAAATCTGAACTTGCAAAACAACGACCTTGATCCGCTATAATTCGGGTAGGCAAGCTAAATAAGGAAACAACTGATCATACGGCCTTAACACAACTTTCCGTATCTATTTTTAAAGTGTGGTAAAAATAAACAAATTTTGTAAATGCGTCTATTAAGACAATAACGTATTCTTTTAAGTCATTTTTACCACTCAATTTTCCTGTTATGTCAATATGTACCATGTGTCACGGTATATCTATTTTGGAAATAGAATGTAACTCTGCCTGCACTTTACCTACGGGTGGCTTCGATAGCTTACAAGTGATACAGTTCTCTACGAACCGACGCACATGTTTTCAAACCAATAATAGCTATAAACCTTATCTAATGTCTTTTCCCATCCCAAATGCATTATTGATTCGTGGACATGATTGATAATTGCCCATCTAAATGACCTTGGAATTACCGGTAGACATTTAGTTTTACCATTTCGCAGTATTTTCCTATGCAAAATACATTTTTGTAATTCATAGGTTTTATCTAAATTATCTGGCAATTCAATATTTCTTAATTTAGTTTATATATCTAAAATCTCACTATCACGCTATTGCTCCGAAATTAACCAGTTGTCGGTTACCTCAGTCAAATTTATTCGTTTCTCAGGTATTTTATTCTGAACACTATTTTCCTCAGGTATTTTATTTTGATCATTATTTTTCTCAGGCACTGGATTCCGAGATAGACAATCTACGTGCGCCATTCGCCTTTCTGTACTCTAAGCCAAAGTCAAACGATTGCAAAAATGCCCACCACCTATGTACCCTCGGCGTTAAGTCGAGTTTTGTACGACTAGCCTTCAAAGAATTGCGGTCTGTATATACGACAAATTTACGTCCCTGCAAGTAATGGTGGAAATGTCGGATACTGTTAACTACCGCTAGCGTCTCTAATTCATAAGAATGATATTTTGACTCGGCAGGAGACGTGCATTTACTAAAATACTCAATGACATGGGGTTTGTTATCATTTTTGTGCAATAGTATAGCTCCATAGCCAATTGAACTGGCGTCAGTGTGCAACTCAATTGCGTACTGCGGGTCGAATATGATCAAAACGGGTGCCTGTGTCAACACAGATATGATTTTAGCTCGTATTTGCTCGTGGTCTTGTTGCCAAGTGAAAGTTGCAATTTTCTTTGACGTTAGGTGATACAAAGGCTTAAGCGTCTCCGAAAATTTTGGAACGAACTGTCTGAAATATGAAGCTAATCCAATAAATTGTCGTAACTGCGACACAGATTGTGGAGGCGGTAAATCAATCAATGCTTTTATCTTACGTGCGTTTGGCCTAATTTTCCCGTTGCTTATTTCGAACCCCAGATACTCTATACGAGTTTTAAGGAAGGAGCACTTAGTTACATTAAACGAAAATCCGGCATTACTTAATGTTTCGAGTACAGTATGCAACCGTTCCAACGCCTCTTCTTTGGTTTCGGCTATAACCAACACATCATCAATATAAACGGTAGCATATATGTGTGCTAGAGTTCCTAATGCTCTTATTATGGCCCTCTGAAACACAGAAGGTGCATTTTTCAAGCCAAAAGGCATGGTCAAAAACTCGTACTGCCCTTCTGGCGTTACAAACGCAGTTCGCTCTATTGAATTTTCATGTACTGGAATTTGATGGAAACCACTGGCCATATCTAAACACGAAAAATATTTGGCACCGCGAAGCCTGGCAATCTGGTCTGCGATAAGAGGCAACGGATACCTATCAGCAACAGTATTCTCATTTAATATCCTATAGTCCACACATAGACGATCAGTGCCGTTTTTCTTCTTTACCAACATCATAGGGCTGGCGAAAGGTGAGCAACTTGGACGAATAATATTTGCTTTCAATAATTCATCAATTTTACAGCGCACATGGTTTTTTTCTTCCTCGCTTAGCCTGTAAGGACGTCGTTGCACTATCTTTAGTGGATCTATTAAATTAATTTCTAACTGCCCTGTCGAGACTCGAGTTTTTGAAATACCGCTGATAAACCAATCAGAGTAACACTTTAGGATATTTGTAAAGGCCATTTTATCGGATTCGACTAAATCAATATCAGCATTTATAATATCTCTGTAATCAGTTACAGTCAAAACATCTACCCTTTTTGTTTTATAAATTTGGAATTTGTCGGCGTCTATTTTTACTCCAAAGCCCTGGCTAAGGATTTCACGACCAACCAACACATCGTATTTCATATACTTATCCATTATTACGTGTAACAAAATATCAAAGCAGTGTTGTTCAATATTTATATTATATAATACTTGCTGAGTACTACAAAAGGCATCATTACTTATACCGTTAAGTTTTACAATGTTATTTATTCTTTTTCCCTTAAATTTACCCACGGCGCTTTCCTTCACTAAAGAGCATTCAGCACCCGAATCAAAGCAAAATGGAATAGACTCACCGGATGCCCTTATTATTCCAGACGGTGGAGCTACTGTGCTGATATCTACCCGCTTCTCATACGTTCGGCACACTTAAAGCACTTAACACTTGAGCGATCCTTCGGTCCAGTCATGTTGCTGCCGCTGTGGATTTTGCCTTTGCTCTGGGCCTTCTCCAAGCGAGCACGACATTCGGCGTATTTATGGCCAGCCTTTCCACAATAATTGCATTTCATCGGTGTCGGAAACTTGAACTTCATGCGCTCCGAGCCTGTTGAATCGTCGTCCATACTGTGCTTTTTGAAAGAGTGTGCGTGTAACTGTGGTTGTAGCTCATTGCCAGTTTTCACGTTGTTTGTAAAAACCCAGCGCGTCAACTTGCTGTCTATTTGCGCCATGTGAGCTAGAGTCACGGATACCGCTATTTCTTCCAAATACTTGGTTTTCCATTTTGACATAAGTAGCGTCACAATACGGCTGCCGTATTCGGCGAAGCCCTCCTCCGGCTTTGGTCGACCATTCAGAACATTTAATAGCATGGAGGCAGAAGTCTCAATTCCAACAAAGCGTTATATAAACAGCTCCTTGAACTTCGCCCTAATGATGCCGGCAAAGCAAATTTGGGAAAGCCACTGTGATGCGCAGCCTTCTAGTGCCTTGCTTAGGGCGATCACCAGGTTGCTACCCTCGAGCACGTTATCCGCAAAAATTAGATCAACTGTTGAACACCAAAAGGAAACATCCGCTCCAGCGATGTCAGGATTGAATTTTGGAAGAGTCACATATGACGCTTTTCCATCGGCTGGCGGTGCCCTTGTTGTCTGTATGTTTTTGATGATTTCCAGTAGGTTGCGGTTTTGTAGCTCCAACGCTGACAAATACGGATCGGTGGGATGAGCAGTAGGCAAAGCAGATCCCACTTCTGATGTCGGCGGCAAGGGTATGTTTTCCATCTTGATGCATTAATTGATTTTCGCAGCTGCACAGCGAGTTCCGTTTGGTTCGAATACCCAAGCTCAACTGACTCTTGCATACGCGCTCGCGTCATAAACTCACTCAAGTCGAGCGTATACAGCCATCTCTATCTTACTCAAGACTCTTGGTACCTTACCATCGAACCTCACTCAGCAGCAGAGCGTCTCTGCCTCTGCTGACGTGCATTCGCTCAATATCAACAAGTAAAGCAGAAGCAGGGAATTCCCCGAATTCCCAAATTACCAGAATGCTACATTTACTGGGAATCACACTGCGACGTATATTATATTTTGTAACCCAACTAAAAAACCATTTATATTCCACTCATAAAATTCTGCTTATGTAGTCTAGTGCTTAAGTTTAACTTAGTTCTTATAAGCATTTTTAATGACATTTAGAAGACTGAGCCAATAAATGGAATATGAATATAATAAAATAGTTAAATGTGTAAATCATTTTAAGTTTGACATTAAAATTTGTTAATATGTAACATTATTAAATAAAATTCACGGCCCTGGACTCACAAAATTTCAGCTTAGCCCACACAATCTTAACGATGTGTCTGGATCTCAGTTATTCTTCTGACGGCATAGAATCGTGATTTATTGGGTCAGACGAGAAAAATATTAATGTGCCCAGAATAGATACCCGCGCAACTGACTTGAAGACTGTTCCTTATTTAATTCTTTTCCCCCACCTTTCCTATTTTAGTTAATGTGTCTGCGCAACCTTTACTTAGATCTGATAAGCATTTTACAACA